GGCTCTGTCTCAAAAAAAAAAAAAAAAAAGAATAGATAGTTAAATTTTATGAAGAACAGAATCAGCAATGTGAATTATTAGAAGAAGGAATGCAGAGTTTGTGTGTGATATCATGGCAAATCAAAACAACTTGAATATTTCTTTGTAAGGTAAAACTAAGTCCATATATAATATGTGGCAAAAAATCCAAGCATTTCAGAAAAAAGCTCTCTTTTTTCAAAATTCTTCTTCAAAAAGAGATTTTGAAGATTTTGAACATTTTTGAACATTTTCCCCAGTCCCTTAGCAAAGGTGGCTGATAAGCAGGATGATGTATGTAAATCATTTGAGGAATATGCAGCTGTTATAGACTCTTACTAACTGGAGAATACAATGAAAGGTTCACTGACTTCGAAAATCATAACATCACACTGAAATTAGAACTTTAGCCTCCCCTAATTGAAATCACCAAGGCACCTAAAGAACTATAGATGGAATTGATTACTGTCTTAGTAGATGATGTTTTAAAGTGACTGATGTTAAGAAGGATCCAGTTGAAACAGGGGAAAAAAGCACAGCAGATTACCCATGCTTTTGGTAACATGCCCCAAAATGCTTTTTTTCATTCTTTTAAATTCATAAACATATAGATCATGTATACGTTAATGCATGTATGGGGGCAGAATGTGCTGATTTCACATAGAATTAGGAGCGTTTACATTACATTGGTTAATATAAACCTCATCTTGTTTACTTAATTATTGTGTTAAGACATTTATACTCTATACTTAATAAATCCGACAAGTACCCTTGCATTATGCACCATAGGTGTGATCCCACCATTCACCCTCCCTCCATCTGACCCAAAAGTGCTTTTTTACTTTTCAACCACTTATCATTATGAATCTACATTCTCCAATCTAACCCAAATGAAGACACCCTTAAGGTCACAAATGACTAACACCCATCTAGAGGCTCAATAACACTGTGGACCCCCAGGCTAAGGATGTAGTAGTTATTTTTACAAAATAGTGATAAATTTTAAAGTATATCTAATTGAAGCTTCTTGAATGTGGCCTTATTTGATTACAGCCACATTAAGGCACTTCCAACATGAAAAGTTTCTCCCACCTTAGTTTGGAATGCGGCAGCTAGATTCAGTTACATTGCCATTCACACATAAGGCAAAAGTAAGGACATTTTAAGATACGCAAAAGTTTATTGCCTACTATCTGTCCTGAAAAAAAATGATCCAAAGGTGTACTGGAACAGGGCTTCCCGACTATGGGGAAGGCCCAGTTACTTGTTTTCTACACTTCCATGGCACTGAGGCCCACTCTTACAGATGTTCCTCACTGCTCTGCCGCCGGGCAGCAGGCCCCTCTCGGATCACCACTGAGCAGCAAGCCCACAGCCCCACTTTGAGCAGTGCTTCCCAGACGGCACAGAGGCCCCATACAAAGGCTGATCCTGAGGAGAAGCACATGGAGAGGGCAGGTGGAGGGCAGGAGTGTGGGGGAGGGCCACAAGATCAGCATTCAGCCCAGAGGACTGGGACTGCTGCTGCATACACGTGCCCAGCATCAGGACACAGACTTGCTCTTGGACATACAAGAAATACAGTAATTAAGAGATGCTACTTTCAGATAGAAATTGCACTGGTAATTTAAGCTACTGTTTTTTTGTCCCCCTGGGTAGAATGTCATGGCATCACAGCTCACAGCAACCTCCAACTCCTGGGCTCAAGCAAGTCTCATGCCTCCGACTTCCAAGTAGCTGGGACCACAGGAGCCCGCTACAACGCCCGGCTTTTTTTTTTTGGTTGTAGCTGTCATTGTTGTTTGGCAGGTCCGGGCTGGATTCAAACCTGCCACCTTAGGTGTATGTAGCTGGCGCCTTAGCCACTTGAGCCACAGGCGCCAAGCCTTAAGCCACTGTTTTAAGGCAAAGTAAAAGGATGAGTAATCTGAACATGGTAAGTAGTAAGAGAAGTACAAGGAGGTCTAATACAGTTACACATGCATTTTTTAATCCCTACAACTGCAAAATATAAATAAATCTTTAAAACATCATTTGGTGACAATGACACCAGGCTTGTTTTCCCATTATAAACAACTAGGACAAAACATATGAAACAGTGTTCACTTACTGGACAACAGGTAGTGTAGGACTGTGGTCCCTCGTAGAAGGGACCT